TCCGTTTAATGCTCTTCCTTGTTTCTCTCATCAATATTATTATTCCAATTAATCCCAATTAATGGCAGAATTTTAACAACAAAAAAAAAATCAAATACTCCTTCTCAACTCACGATTTTTTTTCTATATCCCTATTTTTTCATGACTCTATCAATATCTTCTCTACATCTTACGGTTTTGCTATACTCATTTTATCATGATTTTTGAAACAAAAATCAAACAAATCTTCTGAACAAAAACCCTCAGTCTGATTATACTCCTTTTGTCCATCCATGCTTCGAAAACAAAAAAAAAATTCGACTGATTGCCACAACAACAATATCGCCTCTATTTCAACAACAAAATAACAAAACACAAAAAATGACGGAATCAACTAGCAAGCATAAATATGGAGCAATCAGAGGCAGAAAGTTAACTAGCGGAGTCTCTCCGACAGAGTTTTGAAAGAGGTAAGTTCAAGAATTCCTTGCTTCTGAGTTATTGGTGTTGATTCGACGTTCAGAGCGTTGGTGAAAATTGTTTCTATTGTTACTTGTGGTAAATTGTAATTCATAGTGTCAAAACTATGGTGTGTCAAAGGACACACAAATTAGATTTGTTTTATATATAAATAGATTTGATTTAGATCTAAAATAGATAGATTTGATTGAGTACCAAAACATGTATTTTGGGCTTTTATAGTTTTGGGCTTTGAGCTAACCAAAATCTATAAATAGGGAGTAACCCCTAAGTTTGTAATCAAGTTAATTAAGTTGTATTCATAGAATTTGTAGTTGCAAGTGAATAACAAAGTTTTCCACAATTTGTGGGCAGAGAGAAACTCTGCAGAAAATAATTGTCTTCTCTCTTTCTTTTCTTTTCTCATAATTCATTGTCATTGTGTGGTGATATCAATCTTAAGCATCAAGATTGGTAGAAATTCATCATAGATATTTTGTGAATTTCCAACATCTGGTATCAAGAGCTCGGTTTCGATTCAAGGGAAGTATCAATCAAGAACAATTGAAGAATTCACGATGGCGAATTATGGGAATGCAAATTATCCACCAACTCTACCAATTATGAATGTAGACAACTATGATAATTGGTGCAAACAGATGAAAGTTTTGTTCAGGTGTCAAGGTCTTTGGGATCTTGTAAAAGATGGATTCGAAGAGCTTGGAGAAAACGCTTCAGAAGAAGAAAAGAAGAAACACACAGAAATTGAGAAGCTGCTTTATAAAGCACTCTTTATAATTCATCAATGTGTGAGTCCATAAAATTTTGAAAAGTGAGTGATTCAGAATCTGCAAAAGAAGCTTGGGATGTTCTTGATAAGTCCTTTGGTGGTGAAGAAAAGGTGAAAGAAGTGAGGTTACAAACTCACAAGAGAACGTATGAATTTCTTCAGATGGAAAATATTGAAAGCATATCTGATTTCTTCACTAGAGTTACAAAACTAGTGAATCAAATCAAGGCATGTGGAGAAATATTAACAACAAGAGCAGTTTTTTCGAAGATCTTGAGATCTTTGGCTCCTAAGTTCAACCACGTAGTGGTGGCTATAGAAGAGGGGAAAGACTTGTCGGAATTGAAAAAGGAAGAGCTTCAAGGGACGCTTGAATCTCATGAGCAAAGAATGAAAGAGTTGCGGGCAATTCGAAGAGTTATGTGGCTTTGCAGGCACATTCAACAAAAGAAACCAAAGGCAAAGGAAAATGGTTATATAGAGGTAGAGGCGGCTACAACAAATCCACTGGTAGAGGAAACCAGAATGAAGGAAACACGTCGAATCAGAGAAGACCATACCAAGGAAACCAAAGAGGTGGTGTTGCAAATAGAGGAAGAGGTGGTGGTTGAAAACCTGATAAGAATCACATTCAATGTTACAATTGTCAGAAATATGGTCATTATTCGAGTTATTGTCCATAAAAACGAAAGAATCAAGAAAGTGATGCAAAGTTTGCAAAACATGAAGAAGAAGAGATGATGCTGATGGTCACAACAAGAGATGAAGATAGATTCAAGGACCAATGGTACATGGATTCAGGATGCTCATCACATATGACTGGAAGGAAAGACTGGTTTGTCAACATAAAGCCCTCAATGAAAAATATGGTAAAATTCGCAAATGACAATACCCTAGAAGATGAAGGTATTGGTGATGTTATGATTATGAGAAAAGATGGCAAGATGTTAGTAATTTCCAATATGTTGTACATATCAGGCATGAAGATCAATTTTCTTAGTATAGGGCAGTTGGTCGAAAATAATTTTAAAGTGTCGATCAAAGATAAGATGATGAGAGTCGTCGACGCAAATGGAAGATTAATCTTTAAGGCTCATATGTCTAACAATAGAAACTTCAAGATCGAACTAAATGTGATGGAGCACAAGTGCCTTTAGATTGCAGCTAGCAGAGATGAATGGATATGGCATCATATACTAGGTCATCTCAACTTCAAAGACATCAGAGATTTGAAGAGAAGAAATATGGTTTCAGGATTACCAAAAGTCGACATTCCAAACGAGGTATGTGAGGAATGTGTGCAGGCGAAACAACACAAAAATATCTTCAGCAAGGATGAAGGAAGAAGGTCGAAGGTTATTCTTGAAGTTATGTACTCTGATGTATGTGGAATAATCCAGGTGGATTCAATGGGAGGTAAAAAATACTTTGTTACATTCATAAATGATTTCAGTCGAAAGCTGTAGACTTACCTGATCAAGAAGAAAAGTGAAGTGATAGAAGTATTTGACAAGTTTAAGTATATGGTCGAAAGACAAAGTGGTAGAAAATTCAAAGTTTTGAGAACTGATGATGGTGGAGAGTATGTGTCGAAAGACTTCGACAAGTTATGTGAAAAGGAAGGGATTATACATGAGGTGGTTCCGCCCTATACTCCACAGCATAATGGAACTACAGAAAGGAAGAATTGAACCATCATGAATATGGTGAGAAGTATGTTGAAAGGAAAGAATTTACCTAAAGAGTTTTGGGGTGAAGCTGTTTCGACTGCAACATATATTTTGAACAGATGTCCTACGAAGAAGCTAGAAGGAATTACTCCAAAAGAATTTTGGTCTGGTGTGAAGCCTAGCTTGAGTCATCTGAAGGTATTTGGATCTATTGCACATAGGCATGTGCCAGATCATTTGAGAAAAAAACTTGATAACAAGTCAATTCAAATGATTCTAGTTGGATATCATTGACAAGAGGTTACAAGTTGTTCGACCCAATAAACAAAAAGATTGTAATCAATAGGGACGTGATCATAGATGATTTTAAATAATGGGATTGGACTGAAAATGTCAAGAAAGATTCAGTGGTAATCTTACTTGAAGAACCAAAGACTTAAATCGAAAGAGAAGTTCGACAAGAGGAACCAATAGTTATAGATAAACCAAGTACAAGCAGGCCTCAAAGAACAAGACGCATGCTTGCAAGAATGCAATATTGTATGATTACATTAGATGATGTGATAGATAATGAAGGTGAGTTTATACATTATGCTTTCTATGCAGATGTTGAACCTATTAACACAGCTGAAGCATTGAAAGATTCAAAGTGGGTGAAAGCAATGAATGAAGAAGTGAAGTCTATCAAAGAAAACAACACTAGGTCACTTGTCGAATTGCCTTAAGACTAGAAGGCAATTGATGTCAAGTTGGTATACAAAGTGAAAACGAATTTGAAAGGGGGAGTAACTCGACACAAAGCAAGGCTTGTGGCAAAAGGATTTCTACAGAAAGAAGGAATAAACTTTGATGAAGTTTTTGCACATGTTTCTAGGATCGAAAAAATCAGGTTGGTTGTTAGTCTAGAAGAAATAAATAGATGGCACATATGTTAGATGAATGTAAAGTGTGCATTCCTGGATGGACCCTTATACGAAGAAGTTTATGTTAAACAACCATTTGGGTTTGTGAAACATGTCATAGAGATAACAAGGAAAGATCATGGAGCAATTACCATGAAGATCGACAACACGTCAGCTATCAATCTGGCGAAGAACCTGATAGCACATGGTCAAAGCAAGAACATCGAAATGAGGTTCCATCATCTTCGAGAGCAGGTAGTAGATGGGAAGATGAATTTGGAACACTGCAGAACTGAGAATCAGATTGCAGGCATCATGACAAAGAGAGTGCAGGTCGAAGTACTCAGAAGACTAAGAGCCATAATGAATATAGATAGTTTAGACACAATGAATTAGGTGGTGTGTTAAATTATAATTCATAGTGTCAAAACTATGGTGTGTCGAAGAACACACATATTAGATTTGTTTTAGATTTAAATTGATTTGATTTAGACCTAAAATAGATAGATTTGATTTAGTACCAAAATAGGTATTTTAGGCTTTTAAAAATTTTGGCTTTGAGATAACCAAAATCTATAAACAGGGAGTAGCCCCTAAGTTTGTAATCAAGTTAACTAAGTTGTATTCATAGAATTTGCAGTTGCAAGTGAACAACAAAGTTTTCCACAGTTTGTGGGCAGAGAGAAACTCTGCAGAAAATAATTGTCTTCTCTCTTTCTTTTCTTTTATCATAATTCATTGTCATTGTGTGGTGATATCAATCTTAAGCATCAAGGTTGGTAGAAATTCATCATAGATATTTGGTGGATTTCCAACAACTTGAAGGGTATTGAAGCTTGTCTAGGAGTTGATGGCTCAGAGGATTTTAAGAGTATTGAATGAAGGAAGGCATAGTTAAGGTGTTAATGGTAGGTAGGTAATGTATGTTGGAAATCATAAATCTGCAAGTTGTTTTAACAACAAATTTTTAGAGGAGGATTGCTGCTAAACTTTGCAGAGTTTTTTTATGTTGATTTTTTCTCTGTTTACACTCTATTCTCTCTCAGTGATTCATTCAAACCTATCCCTCTGTGTTTTAATCGGTCAACAACAATAACAAAACTTCCGACAACTACAAACTCAAATCAAACAATACTCATAAAAGATATCAAGCCATTAATATAGGGTCATCATTCTACACAACAAGACAAACACAATAGTATGAAGAAAAGGGAAGAAAAAAATTACAAAACCAACCTAAACGTAGCTAGTCCAGCGATTGTTAGCACGTCATATTTTTTTGACGGTAATTCACGGTAACACTGGAAAGCTTCGATTCGGTCCCGACTTCTCCTTCTTCCACCTTTTTTTTTGTTTATTGATTGCAAGGTTGTGTTGTTGTTGTTATTGTTGTAATGCTGAAGTTGTGTTGAGCTTGATATTGTTGCTATAAAGACAACAAGTTCTACACCTTGTTTACAAGGTATTTGATGAAAGTTCTAAGTGAATTGCAGCTTTGGTATTTTTCTATTACGATGCTTATTTTGTTTTTTGTTTTATGAAGGATCATGAGAGGATGAGGATGAAGGGTAGTTTATGGTTATAAAATTTTTCTTCTCAAATTTTCTCCTATGTAATATCTTTTTCTGTGGAACTCTTGATAACAGAGATTTGTATTTTGTGTGAGTTTGTGGTGTGTAATTTTCTCCCCCTTTCTTCTGTGTACAAGGCCTCCTTTTATAGGTATAGTGAAGTGAAATTAGGAGGGAAATCTTGATACATTTGAACATAAGTTGTACCATGTTTTATTGCTTTTTGATACAATTTTGTTTTTGCTAAATCTGTGTAAGTCTTAGACTGATATGGCAAATCTGGACAACAAGCTTTAGTTGTTTTTTGGACCATTGTGTTTGGTGTATTATAAATATTTTTTCTGGTTTTTGCAGGCTGGCCGAGCAGGGTTTTAGAGAAATGTGGTCAGATTTGTGTAGCAATATTGAAAGTGACAAAAACTCTAGGTGGAGAACAAGTTTTTGTTGGTTTACGGACAGTAAAAATGATAGAAGTAAAATTCCCCGCATAATGTATACTGTAACATAAAGTAGTTCCATAACATCCTTTTTTTTTTTTTAATTTTGTCATAAAAATATTAATATTTTTTTTAAAAAAAGAAACATGTATTAACAACAAAATATAACTATTATTACTATTTAGAAAAGTGCAAATATATTAAATATAAATATTAATAATAAAAAATGCAATGAATGATGTATTTTTTATTTTTGAATTAAAAAGGATGCAAAAATATGAATATAAAATGAAACTAAATAAAAGACTATATTTTTTATATTTTTTTGAATAAAGGAATAAAAATTATAAATAAAAAATAATATGATGCTAAGTACATTTTTTTTGTTGTGAATTTTTGAACGAAAAATACAACAACGTAAATCTAAATGAAACTAATTTTTTTTGTTGTGAATTTTTGAACGAAAAATACAACAACGTAAATCTAAATGAAACTAATAAAAGCTATATTTTTTTGATAATAAGATAAAGATGACATGAACTAAACATTTTTTTATGAAAATAAAATAAGAATGAATGATGAATAAAAGATGAAAAAAAGGGCAATATATATGATTGGATAAAATTGGGTTAAACACAATCAAAATTAAGTCCAATTTCATTAAATTCACAAAACAACTTCTTACGTTTCCATTTTTATGTGGCTTTTTTTAAAAAATATAATCAGCTCTTGACTTTGTAAAGAAAAGTTGTAGGCGACGTCAAGGAGAATCATATACAAAAAGAACCGCTAAAAAATTTCAAAATTTGAAGAAGTTGTGAATTTTTTAAACTGACTCGAGATTTGGCAAAAATAGGTCAAACCACTCGTGAACACTTTCTATGCAATGTTGCGGATGGAAGATGAGATCTTAGGTAAAAAATCAGGGTATGACAAGTATATCCTTATCTATCCAACCTTGGGTTAAATTTTGGGGTCTTCCATTATTTAATAACCCTCTGATTCGAATGTGCAAGACCTGCGTATTCTCGCACCCTTCAATTGAAGAGTAATTAAATAGGGGAGCTGTCATACCCCAAATTTTCCCGCCCTTTATTTCTACAGTCAAAAATATTTTCAGCATTGATTTTTATAATATTCTTTGGTTCAATTTTACTAACATTTTAACAATAATTTATTTTGCTCATTTAAAAATGTATAAGAATTTATTTCAAATTATTTGTATTTTAAATAGCAAATACTTGTTCACTTTCATATATTTTCAGTTGACTTTTTATTTCAAATGATTAACATAACATAGTTGGTAAGGAATGAAGCTTGCAAGTATAAGGTTGCAGGTTCAAATCTCTTGTGTTGCACTTTTAACAATTTCACAATCTCAATCTTTCTCTTATTTTTGGTTTATTCTAGGGTTTCTGAATAAAAACTTTGAGAAACAGATCCAAAAACTTCCAACAACCCTTCGGCCCTTTTGATCCAACACCCTCAACCACCGCCTCGCTGTCGTTCACGCCTCCCTGCGGTACCCACGAGAAAGGAGGAGATGTATATGCAAGAAGAAAGAGTTAATTGTTATTGTTGTCTAAAATATGAAAGAGATCGATAAAGGGTATTTGGAAGAGAAGTCAAAACATTGATTTATGTTTACTGTCAAGATTTGAACGACAATAATTGCAGGCGGACCACCCCTCTTCATAAGATCTTGTAGTTCCTTTTTTACTTTATTTTAATTTCTATTTACTGTTTTGTGAGGCTATAATAATTAAGTTTATACTATTTTGTGGCTATAATTAAGCATTTCATTTGGGACTTGAGTGCTCAATTTATTACTTTACTTATCTTAGTACTCCATGTTTCTATTCACCCCTTTTGATTTTTTATCTAATTAATTAGTTTGATCTTATTAGAATCTGATATAATCAATTATTTTTATTGTTTTTAGTCTTTATAAAACAAAAAAAACAATCAAACACATAATAATACAAAAATTGGTTTATCTTATTTAATTCGTTTATTTTTGTTTCTATTATTATTATCATATAAGCCAAATTTTCTATTTTTATGGTATAATTTTAACTTTAAAAAAGGGATTATGAACTGCTTATTTTTGTGTAACCATAAGATATGCAGCGCTAGTACTATTACTCTAACTTTTCTTAATTTTATTTTTTATTTGTTTTTGTTTAATTAGTATTGGAATTAGTTTGTGTCGGGCTTAGAGAAATAGACATGTCTTCTTTCCTTAATAAACATCTCTTCTCTTTCTTTATATTAATTTAGTATATAATTAATTTAATTTGACGATTAGGCTAGATTAATTACTTGTACATTAATTCAAACATTTTTTAATTAATTAACTCAAATATATTATAAATAACAAGATTGGTGGATACACATTTTCCATATTCTTTGATTAGCTCAACGCCTTATGAATTAATTTTTCAACATTAAAATATTAAAAAACCACGCAATTCACCAATCAGTGACATGTGGCCAATATCTGGCCATTTGTTGAGGAGACTTTGACAAACTCCATCCACATCCTTCATGACGAGCAACATGTGGCCAATATTTGGTCATGTGAGGAGAAAAACTTTATGAGACTTCCCCCACTTTGTGTCCTACCATACTCTTTATCGATGAAACACTTAAAATAGCTAACCTATGATCAAACCATTTTTCTACTAACATAATAAAAATCCAAAATATTTTCATAAAAAATATTAAGGAGAATTACTTCAAAATTAACTGCGAACTACGTCTACGACCACTCACTTATAACCCATACAAGGTTTAAGGATAATTCGAAATCAATTCTACGCAATCCTATAAAAAACACCAACCAACATTACAGACTACAAATTGGAACTCTGATTCCTCACAAGAGGATATGTATGCATACGACTAAAATCGTGGTGAGTTGCCCTAACTAAAAATTAAAACCCTATTCCTAAACCTTTAATCGAAACCCTAGTATCATTGTGAACATGGTAGAAAAAGGGTTCCTAACACCTTCCCTTCGTCTAAAGCGAGTCAACAAATTAATGATGGTGACTCTATATTTTTTGCCGGTTATTACAATAGCATGATAGAAAAATTATGCGTGTCTTTGTATTTCTCATGTATTAAACTTAAGCAATATATTAAGCCAGTTGATGTTTATGTTTCATCTCATTGTGATATCATTAAACATATGTTGTCCAAACCAATTTTGCATAGTCGAATTGGCAAGTGGGCACTAGACTTAACTGAGCTTTCATTGTTTTATATGCCTTTGAAGGCCATGGAAGGCCAAATTGTGGAAGACTTCATAGTCGATCAAGCCATAATATAGCCATCAGTAAATATGATAGCCACAGACCCTTGGAAATTATGCTTCGACGGGTCAAACCAAAAGAATGGAACAAGCTTCAGAGTTCTTTATCTCTTCAAAAGGAGTGCCATCAAAATTCAAATGTATGGTAGGTGGAAAATGCTCCAACAACGAAGCTGAGTATGAGGCTTTAATCACTAGACTTTCACTTTTGAAGAACTTAGGTGCAAAAAGGGTCGAAGTCAAAGGTGATTCAGAGCTAGTGATTAAGCAAATAACTCGAGAATATAAGTGTATTAAAGAACATTTGTTTTTGTATTTTGTGGTGGTTAGGTAATTGTTAGAATATTTTGAAGTGGTAAGCGTTACACATGTGCCCAGATTCGACAATCAAGTGGCTAATGATTTGCACAAATTGCTTTTGGATACAAAGTATCAATAGACAAGCTAAAAAGTTTTGTTGAGTTAAGGGAGAAGGTAATTTCGACACCATCATCAACATTGTCAATTCCAAAAATGGGGGGGGGGGGGGGGGGGGGGGCAGATAAGTTGGCAAAGTTTGAAAATTGTGACAATTTTGAAGTTTTTGCCATTCACAATTTGTCATACACGAATTGGCGAAAGCCAATTATGAATTATTTGGAAAATCCAGTTGGAAATGTTGATAGAAAAATAAAGAACAGGGCGTTGAGTTATGTGTGCATGGATAATGAATTGTTCAAGAAGACTCCCAATGGGTTTTTGCTGAAGTGCTTAGGATATACTGAATCATATTTGGCAATAGTCGAAGTCCACAGTGGGGCTTGTGGTGCCCACCAAGCCATCCATAAAATGAAATGGTTTCTATTCCGGCAGGGTGTTTATTGACAAAGTATGCAGAAAGATTATATTGAGTTTTCTAAAGGGTGTCAAGCGTGCCAAAAGCACGTAGATAATCAACATGTACCTGCAAGCGAATTACACACAGTTATTAAGTTGTGGCCGTTTTGATGATGAGCGCTAGATATCATAGGAGAAATTTGACCAGCCTCGTCGAAATAACAAAAGTTCATCCTGGTGGAGATATACTACTTCACTAAATGGATAGAAGAAATACCATTGGAAAATGTTAACCAAGAAGCAATGATTGACTTTACTCAATATCACATCTTTTATATATTTGGAATTCCTTAGACAATCACTACAGATCAAGGGTCAGTTTTTGTTGGGCATAAGATGCAAGAGTTTGCGTCTGAAATAGGCTTGAAGTTGGTAACATCCATGCCTTATTACGCTCAAGCCAATGGTCAGGTTGAAGCTTCCATTAAAGTAATAATTGGGTTAATTAAGAAACACGTCTCTAAGAAACCCAAGAATTAGCATAACACGTTGGATCAAGCTTTATGGGCTTGTCGAACGTCTCCCAAAGAAGCAACTTGATCGACGCCTTTTCGATTGGCATTTGGACACAATATGGTTTTTCTAGTTGAAATACACTTGCAATTAATGCGGTTTCGACGAAACAATAGATCTGGATGAAGAACGATTAGTTGCGTTGGATGTGCTAATCTGACAAAAATAGCAAGTTGCAAGATCCTACAATAAAAAGGCCAAAATAAAGACGTTTGCAGTTGGCGACTACGTGTGGAAGGTTATTCTTCCCATGGATCAAAAAGATAGAATTTTGGGGAAGTGGTCACTAAATTAGGAAGGACCATTCCAAGTACTACAGGAGCTCACCAATAATTCATATGAGATCAAAGACTTAGGATTCGATCA